AGTGACTAAACTTTAGTTGACTGAATCAAGGTTTTTCGTCAAAAAAAAAAGCATAAATTATTTTGAATCATTATTTCAAAAGACTACGTCTCTTCGTATAATATTATATCTGTAATACTTTATCTTGTATTCTGACATTTCATTGCAATGAGTTTCATGATAATTATTATCATGTTTTAACAATTAAATTACGGCGACAATATAATGATGACTAATTGCTTTATTGAAGGTTATGTTTCTATTAGAGAAGATTATATTGAAGATTATGTTGAAGATAATATTGAAAGTTATGTCAAGGTGACTAAGTCAAGGACAATATTTTCAATAGTTTATTATATTCTAACAATTATGTTACAATGACCATATAATAATGACTAAACTGTTTTATTGAAGGTTATGTTTCTATTGAAGATTATATCGAAGGATATGCCAAGGTGACTAAACTTTACTTGACTGAATCAAGGTTTCGTCAAAAAAAAAGCATAAATTATTTTGAATCATTATTTCAAAAGACTACGTCTCTTCGTATAATATTATATCTGTAATACTTTATCTTGTATTCTGACATTTCATTGCAATGAGTTTCATGATAATTATTATCATGTTTTAACAATTAAATTACGGCGACAATATAATGATGACTAATTGAAGGTTTGATGAATTTGAAGGTTATGTTTCTATTAGAGAAAATTATACTGAAGGTTATGTCAAGGTGACTAAACTCTAATTGACCAAGTCAAGGTTTTGTCAAAAAGGCATAAATTATTCCGAATCAAATGATTAGATTTCAAAACTCTTCGCATAATATTATAATAACCTAAATACCCTGTTTCATGTTTTGATATTTCATTACAATTACTAGAGAACAGTAAATGTTTGTAATCGAAATTTGATCAATCACAGTACATGAGGTGTGAATCAAGTCCAAATCGTAGTGCAAATAGCTTAATATAGAGTATATCATAATCCACGTAAAATGAACAAGCAACTTTGAACTTTGCAACTGTGGTTCATTTTTACAAAATCGAGCTGCATTTGGGGAACGACTAGCTTGCGCGTAAAGTTTCAAATTTTTATTTCTTGCTTTTTTTTTTATTAATCAATTGTCCTTGTTAGCTTTGTAGATAAACGATACGAGGAAGATCTCAGAAACTTTAACCATAAATGGGACAAGAGAGTCTGCTGATCAAGAGACGATTCTGACACGAATGACTGGCAGCAATGGAAACGAGCCTCGAGTGGCGTTTTCGGGAATGAATGAGTTTCCTGTTACGAGTTTTATAAATCCTTCGTAACAACCTCGAGAGAGAGACGAGACTGCAGATCGATTTCTTTAATTCTTCGAGCTGAACTTTCGAATGTAAAATTTCAGCTCGCAGCTCGATGAAACGTACAACGTTTTGGAAAATGGCCCGCTGGGGCATGTCATTGCCAGTTCGTTCGATTCAAGGAGTGGACGTAATTCACAAGACTCGCGTCTCAGCAATGTCCACGAACGCCTCTGTATTTAAACGACATTCAACACCGTTCATTAGCATTCGTCGACGGCCCCCGGAGGAACGCGAGGCAGGCGTCTCACGCAGAGACCTCGCGATTTTGTTAAAACCGTCGCGTGGGATTCGAACGAAGGAAAAGGGTGGAAAATGGCGGGATGGAGGAGAGTAAATAGGAGAGAGAGGAGATAAAAGGAGATATTCATACATACGTGCCGGTGATTGCGAAAATCATATATTCCTCGTTCCGAGATTCAATTATTCAAAGGTTCGAGTTTGCATGGATTAAAAAAATATTTTTATGCTATGACAACAAAATATTACAAACGTGTGCCACTGATAGCGAAAGAAATCCTAATAAAGAGATAATAAAATCGCACAGTCTATAATTTGGAAATAAAAAGTTTCATGTTCCTGAAAAATCACTTTGGAACGCTGTTTTTTTGCGCGTTGCACTTTGAAA